TGTCTTTTTTTATTTTATTTTTTACATTTATCGCTTTTTAGTGGTTTATATGCTCTGATCTGTAACATCGGGAACATTGAGCATCATTTCTTTTGAGTTGGTGTTTGAAGTTTATTTCCTTTGAGTATTCTCCTTTAAAATAATTATTTGTTGTGATGAGATATTTTGATTTCTGCTGTGAGACTTTTGAAAAATATTAACGAATTAATTGCATGTTGTGTTTTAAGTAGCATCCTAAGTTATGAGAAGTCTCTTTTATATTAAGAGTCGGGGTTTAAGGTATTATATATTGCACCACTGAACATTTGGAAAATTGGTCTGCGATGATGAATGATGGAGATAATGAAAATAATGTTATTTTAGTGCTTACTTTTATGGGAATTTTTTAGATTTTGATTAAGACGGTGATGAATATGAAGAAGGATGGGGGAGAATATCAAGATAGGTAAAGAGTATTAGGTATTAATGATGTATTGTTAGAACGTTTAAATATGTTTGTGCTCCTCCTAAATATTGGCAGCTTCATTTTCAATCCCTCAAAAAAAAAATTCTTTAAAGAATGTTCCTCCAAATATTTTCCATCCACACATTTGGATCCTCCTGTTAAGTGTCTATAATGGAATCTGACAAGTGGCAATTTAAGTGATGACCAGGGTGGATTTAATTAGATGAAATTAATTTAATTATATCAAATTAAATTATATTTGTTTATTTTTTTGGAATACTTATTAAAAAGTCATCTTCCCCAAATCAGTTTAGACTAACTCATTTTCTCTTCCCTTAATTTTTTTCAATCTGCATGCAGAAACGCATTAGCCCAACCTTCTTTGTTTACCTTTGTTTCAATATTGTCTTCCAAGACAAACTCCACCAAATTCGTTTTCATGTCTTCATCATATGTAAAAACTCGAGCTACACATTTGTGTGAGTGTCATAGTCATATGGTTTCGTACAAATAAAAGAAGAAACCTAACAAAGGAAAACTTTTTTGAGATGTCCATTTTTACAGGGTGATGACACATGTGATTTGTCTATATGGGATGAAGGAATGAGAGCAAAAGTTGTAAATGAAGAAGGGAGCGATATGAATGAGTTGAAAGTTGTGGTTTGTTTGAAGGATTCATATGAAGATTCAAATAAGAAGAACACAAATTCTTAGAATAAAGTGAATTCAAAGACTTTTTTTTTTAGAAAATAAAAAATATAATGCTTTGTAATCTCTTTTATGTTTAATGTCTACTTTGTTTTGAAATGTAAATGTTGAATGAGACTTTGAATTAGATTGTTAATGAGTGAGAGTTGTTGATGTCATGTTGAAACTTCACAACATTCAAATCTATCTATTAATAGTGTTCGTTAATGGAATGTTGGTTTTGACTAGACATTTGTTAAGATTAGACAAGTTTTGACAAGTCTAGTATGTCTTTGACTTAAATTTAACATGGAAACACTTACATTTGAGACTGAGATTTGTCTTTCTTTGACTTAAAATTGGCATAGTAACACTTTAATTTTAGACATTGTCTGGCCCTAGTTTGGCTTAATCATTTGAAAATTGTTATGACAATACAAAATAGAGACACAATCACTCAAGATAAAACCTATGACAATATAAAATCAGAATTTAAAATTTGTAGCAATATAAACCACAATTTTTGCAACAGCTCAAGATAACATTGATGGTTTCATTTCATAAAAGAATTCTCACAGTACCAAAAGAGATACAACCAGTTTCACAAACCAGAATTCTTACAATAGGTGTAGTAACAAAATTCTTACAGTACCAAAAGAGATACAATCAGTTTCACAAAAGAGATATATGATGTTACATAATCATTATAGTATATAAGGCATGATGATACATATTCCTTAGAGTACAAACACAGTAAAAAAAGAGTACATAATTCATGACAAAAAATCATTAAGACATGCCCTTCTAACTTTCATCCCATATCTTCATTCTCTTAGCACTGCCACCAGCTGTGTCTTCTTCTTCAAGAATTACAACTGGATCTTTAGCATGTTTTTCAGATCCCACTATGTCTCGTGTTTTGAGTGTCATAAGTCTATCACTATTTAATTTTTGAAGTGGAATATGATTGATCTTTTTCCTTTTTGGTATCATGCTTTTGACTTGTTATGATAACTTAATGTTAGTAAAGTAAACATTTGAAGAGACTAAGTATATCACACTAATTTGGAGTTGACAACTTCATTATAGCATTTCATATAAGTAATCCTATGATAACACTTATGTACGCACTTGATGTGATCATCGTAAAAATAATCCACATGCAAGTGCCAATGCTTTTTTTGTCCTACCAAAACACGTGTAACACCTTTTAAATTGTGGTTGCAAGCCAGGTCTTAGACGACTATTGTTTAACTTGAATGTGTTTTTTGGTGAATCCCTCCTCAATTCAGCACGATATAGCCATAACAAACTATATTGCTTACTTGAGTCTCCTTCAATAATTTGTCTAACAAGCTGTCTGGATTTGAAAGTTCTACAACCAGTGATCTCATTTGCAAACCTCAGCCTTACATTTGAGACCATTTCATTTAATTCCATCTTAGTATTATTTTCAACTTGTCTACAATCATTTTAGCAACCCAATATGCCTTAGCATTTTTATTGAAGTTATGGTTAGATGGTTCACTTGTGCCAATACCATCAACATTCTCCCTGCTATAATCACCATCATCTAACCCTAAACTAAACCATTCATCAAAGTCTTCATCAAAATTATGGATTCTCTATTCTTCACTGACTTCAAAGTATAAACCATTAATAAATTCATCACTTGATTCACTACACTTATCTACATTCTCAACACTTTGTTATCCCTTATTTTTTCTATTAATTTCTCCGTATAGGTGAACTCACCTATTGATGGTTTGGGCTTAGTATAAATTTCAATTTTACATTGATTCTTCTCAGCAAATAAACATAACAATGATGAATCCTCATCGTTTCTAAAGGGTTTTAGATCTTTTTCTAAAGGAAAATGATTATTCTTACGAAATAATGAAAACAAGAAAGGCAAGAATAAATCTCAACCACTCATTACCACCACCACCCCATGTTTCTTGTTAAAAAGGAAATCAATTTTAAAAAATATATTTAAAATTTTGCTCTAAAACATTGACAAATGTGTATTTTTGCTTTTCATTTTCAAATGTTTCATAATATATAACATTACTTTTTTTTCTTCCAAACTACAACCTTCATGTTTCCACCACATTTTCACACAATCAATATCAAACTCTGAGTCCATCCCCTTAATTAGGCCACTAGCTTAAATAAAGGACAAAAAAATCAGTGTTTTGTCCATTGTATGCATAAATATCCCTACTTTCATACTTTAATTTTGGGTCTTTTACAAAACAACTCTTGATGTAGAATATCACCTTAAATAAACCCATCTCTTGTATATTACACATACTATAAGGGGTAAGTTTGACATTAATTTTACATAAATACAATATTTTAGTCAACACAATATCAATTTGGCATAAAAAATTTAGTCAGCATAACGTCAATATTTTACAAACCTATTTCGGTAAAATTCAAATAACAATCAATGTCATGATATTCCATTCGTATACATGGTAAAGTTGGAGGTTATAAATACATGAAAAAAGAAACTCTAAACTATGTGGGAAAAAGCAAAAAGAAACCCTAAACAATTCAACAAAAGAAAAAAAAGAAAGAACACATATGAGACATATATGTCAGCAAGGTGCGTGATATACGATTTTAATGGAACCACAAATTTCTATGCCCTAACCTACTTCAAGGATCACACTAAAAGCAATTTCAAAATCTTCGTACACAACTAAAAACAAAAAAAAGATACCCTTCAAACTGTTAACTTCATCCTGACGTTGACAATGCAAACTTCGACACGGAGTTGACGATACAAGTTTCAAACTATATCAATAAAAAGATGGGAGAGAAGCCATCAATAGTGTTTCAAAAAAAACTAGCGTTTTATGTTTAACATTTTAGAATAGGACAATTGAAAATTAAGTAAAATTTAAATAAAATTTATATTATAGTAAAAATAATTAAACACAACAAATTTCACTTAGATCATCATTTTAGCTGACAAAATTTTAAAACTAAGCCACCCGCCACACTACATTTTGTTAGAGACCGTTAACGTGAAAAACTAAATGTCTATTAAAACATATTTGACCATTGGTAGAATTAATAAACCATTAAAATCTAATAATTTGTCATTTGTTAAAATGATCAAATAATTAAGATTAAAAAACTAATAAAACATATGATAGACAAACAATATTGTCTTATTTAATATATTTAATAAAAATTAATATAATAAAACGAATTGGCTAAAAGATATTTTTGAGACCTAAAAATAAAGTTAGACACGCAAAATCTTAAATTAAGTCAAAGAATTCGAGATTAATTATTTCAAATTAAATCTACATATTAAACTCTATTTATCACAATTTTTGAATAAAAAATAAACACGGACTAAGACCAACTCCAATGAGAGTTCTTAGAGTGAGTTTGTGAACATGACACTCATATTTGTTGTTTTCAAGATGGAAAAGTTCTTAAATATGCAACGGTTTTTCAATAGTTCTTATATTAAAATATTAATTTTATAATATAAAAACTATAATTTGATATAAAATTTTATTTATTATTTTAATTATTATTTTAATTAAAATTTAAATATTTAAATTATAATTTTAAATAAAATAAATTTAATATAAATAATATTTTTTAAGTAAAGTGGTGGGATCCAATATGGATTCTTTAGAGTTGCACTGATAGAGTGAAAATTGAATGAGTTGCTTTAAAAAAGTGAGTCTCACAAAAAAAACCTAAAAATGAATTGCACCATTCTAAAGAAGCCGCGTTTATAATCGTAAAAAAAAAAAAAAAAAAAAAAAAAAAAAAAAAAAAAAAAAAGAAAAAGCGTTTATGTGCTAACCGTCAAGCGGATGAGACTGAAACACGAAAGATGTTGAAAATGGCAGTACGTTGGAACTGGAGGTCACTCTCTTCCCTCCCTCTAACTCACTTCACAAACAAAACCCTCCACACACCAAACCCTAATCTTCGATTCACCACTTCCAACCTCTTTTCTTCCGCTTCTCTGCAAACCTCACCTCCTCTCAATGCCGAGCTGGACCCATACCTCCGCTGTTCCCTGCCGCAGAACCCACTCCGAGTCGCCGTCCTTGTCAGCGGAGGCGTCGACAGCAGTGTCGCTCTCCGGCTACTTCACGCCGCCGGTCATTCTTGCACTGCTTTCTATCTCAAGATATGGTTCCAAGTATGTTTTCCATTTTTTGTTAATTCGAAATTCCGCCATGCAATTTTTCGTAATTTTGAAGTATGGTCTCCATTTCTCGCAGGAAGATTTTGAGAACTTCTGGTCGGAATGCCCTTGGGAAGATGATTTGAAGTATGCTAAAGACGTTTGCAATCAGGTTTTTTTTCATATCCTTATTTCATGTGATGCTATCTCATCATTAACAATGTAAATTCAAACTGTATTTTGTATTTATTTCATTATTTTCAGGTTGAAGTTCCTTTAGAAGTTGTTCACTTGACTGATGAATACTGGAAAAACGTGGTATGCAAGACTCCTTTAGCTACTATTTGTTCCTCTAACACTACTAAGCACTGACACCTCTGAAACTGACATCTAACACTTGCGATTATGTTTAATTGATTTATTTTTTAAAATTATTATTGGTGTTGACGTGCCAGTGTCAATGTAGTGTTTTCTATGTCCATCAATTTATAACATCAATTGACAGCATCTTACTCAATTGACATAACTAGACTTTTAAGTTAATAATTAATATGTTTTATTTGCAATAGTATCGCCGTAGAGCTATTGGAATGCGGCTCTGCCTCATATCTGACTTATAACTTGTTTATCAGGTTTCTTACATCATTGAAGAGTATCGGTGTGGTCGAACTCCGAACCCAGATGTTCTTTGCAATACAAGAATAAAATTTGGTATGATAGATTGAATCCAATCTAACCGCATTGTAGTTTATTTTGTGTTTTTTTTTTTTTTCATTCATGTTTCTTTTAATCAAATGTTTTTTTTTGTTAGGTGCATTTTTGGATGCAATTGGCGGTATGGGTTTTGACTACGTTGCTTCTGGTCATTATGCAAAGGTTGTCCATTCATTTGTGGATAAGATGGATGGCCCTTCTATTCTAGAACTATCACAAGACATGGTACCGATATAAGATATACTTTTGTGACTACAAGATCTTGTTTGCGTTTATGGTTTGTAGGTTATTTTCTGTACTCACAGCGCTTTTGAAGAATCATTTCTGATTTACTAACCTATGTTAAGTTGTTCATAGTGATATTAAGTTTTTTTTTTTTTGTATTTAAATGCTTGTTTGTTTATTAGTCATAAAATGTTAATGGATGCTCTTACCTCTTAGTTTCTAATGTGGTTTGCAATTTTAGGTAAAGGATCAAACTTACTTCTTATCCCACCTATCACAGTCCCAGCTGAAGCGACTTCTTTTTCCACTTGGTTGTATTCCCAAGGTTTGTTGTGACTAGTTCTGTATTCAACGCTGAAATTTCATTTAACTTTGTCTGTGGTTTAGTCAGTTTATAATGTGTAACATAAATTCAGACAGTGTGAATTGGGAATATGTTTCTTAAACCTTTTAGTTCCAAAAGTTGTTGTTTGGGATTGAAAATTGGAGGCTGCTTTGCAGTAACTAACCACTTGTAATGGGCAGCAAGTTATCTTGCTCTGTATGAAAATTTTCCTTATTTTAAAGTTACATCACTTGTCCATTTTTGAAGTCTGAAATTAGAAATCGGGCAAGATGTTTTCAGTAGACATTTGTTAAATAAGTTGAGTGTCCTTAATTTTAATTTGAGGTTGAAATACGAAAATTACTTTGAGGTAACTATGCATAAAGGCAACAATATGTTCCGTGTGAGGAGCTTATAAATTTATTATATTGTAGTACATGCAGACAATGTTTTATTATAGCTCTACATGATGTTATGGAGAAATTTTAGCTCTTACTTAATCTCCTTGCCACATTCTCTGCAGGATGAAGTCCGTAGGCTTGCCACAAAATTCGATCTTCCAAATAAGGATAGAAAGGATTCCCAGGGAATATGCTTTTTGGGCAAGGTATTTGTAGTGAATAGATCTTGTATGCCATATCTCTTTCAATGTTTGACAAATACGTGGTTCATCACAAATACTCTTGATTTTGTGAACCGTTTTGAAAGAAGCCGATAAGCATAAAACAACACTTATAGCAGTGTACACTATTAATTATGATAATTATTCTTTAATTTTCAAAACTTCAATGCCATCATTTTGTTCAAAGATGTATAATTGTTTTGAACTAAATCTTCATAATTTTATTCGTAATTCAATCTTTGTTCACTTTGAGTCATAGATAAAATTCAGCGAATTTGTTGCAAGACATATTGGGGAAAAAGAAGGTATCATACTAGAAGCTGAGACAGGTGATTTCCTTGGCAAACATCGTGGCTTCTGGTTTTATACTATAGGTCAACGCCAGGGTCTACGGCTACCTGGAGGTCCATGGTATGTCCCCTCTCTATTTCTTTCTGGCATTCATTGTATTTTTCTGATGAATTTCCTATCACATTTTATATACTCCATTTTTATGTTGAAGATACATCTACATTGTAGTGAAAGATCTGTTACCGCTAGTTGTTGGACTTTCCGCCTTAATTGCGGTCCGCCCCTAGTCGCCTTAATTGCGGCTCTTTGGCTTGCCTCATTGCAACCCCTAACACCTTCATTGTGTTAGCTTTGAAGGGGTGAGTTTAGTCTCATATTGCTTAGAGATATGGCCTGTGTTGTGTTTATTAGTGGGGGCAATCCTCACCTTACAAGCCGGTTTTGTAGGGATGAGTTAGGCCCAACCCAAATTCTGAGATGGTATCAGAGCCTATCCTAGATCTATTGTTGGACTTCCTGCATTGTCCACGCGTTGGGCTCATTGAGGCCCAGGCGTGAGAGGGTGTGTTGGACTTTCCGCCTTAATTGCGGTCTGCCCCTAGTCGCCTTAATTGCGGCTCTTTGGCTTGCCTCATTGCAGCACCTAACACCTTCATTGTGTTAGCTTTGAAGGGGTGGATTTAGTCCCGTATTACTTAGAGATATGACCTGTGTTGTGTGTTGTGTTTATAAGTGGGGGCAATCCTCACCTTACAAGCCGGTTTTGTAGGGATGAGTTAGGCCCAACCCAAATTCTGAGACTAGTTAATAGGTTACCGAGTTAGTTAATTAGGTTGGGTTAGATAGAGGAAATAGACAAGTCTTTTCGCCTAATTAGGTTGGCCTATAAATGTAATCAAGGGGATTCTTCCCAATTCTCCCCAACATCTGTTGGTTTCTATCATGTAGGTGTAGAAATATGGAAATTTGAATCTATATGTTAGTTTGCTGTAATGTAATATTTAACTTGGATCATTCATTTGAAAGATTGCAAATATTCTTTGGTTGCATTTCTATTACCCAAGTTTTGGAACCCGTTAAAAAAACACCCCTTTTGTCATAAAATATTCTTTGGTTGCATTTCAATTACCCAAGTTTTGGAACCCGTTAAAAAAACACCCCTTTTTGTCATCTGATGCAGGTATGTTGTTGAAAAGGATGTAAAAAATAATGTAGTTTTTGTGTCCAGAAACTACTTTTCTTTGGACAAAAGAAGGCGCATATTCCGTGTTGGTTCTTTCAAATGGCTTAGTGGGTTACCCCCTAAGCAAACAAGTCAGCTTAGATGCAAGGTGGATAGATATCTTAAATATCAATTCTCTTCCCCTATATTACAAATGTTTTCCATCTTTCCAGTATTTGAAGCTCTAGTATCTTAACCCTTTCAGGTCAGACATGGTCCCGGGTTCTATGATTGTAGCTTACAAATGGAACTTGAAGGAGATGACGTAAATGACTCTGCCATCGTTTGCATATCTGAAGATGATCAAGGCCTAGCAGCTGGACAGTTCACAGCCTTCTATGAGGGAAGAACATGCATTGGTTCTGGTGTGATTTTGGAGTCCGGGGATGATCAAAGTTATCCTGTATGCACAAAAGCTTTAGAAATTGCAAGAATGGAAGATAAATCCAAGATTGGGAATCCAGTAAAGATAAAAGTTAAACCAGATAATCCACAAGAAGTGTGTGATTCCACAGAATTGGCAAGTAAAGCTTCATAGGAGAGTAAGAAATTCTTGAGATGCTCCCCTCATAACCAAACCCGCAGGCTGGCAGGCATGGTTCTGTAGGAGGGTACCAGTCTCCGTCAGGCCTTCAGAAGAACACGTGTTTGTTTGGAGGAAGGGATGCTACATTAAATTGGAATCCAAGGTGGTAGGGATCATCTACACATTCTTTAGAAGGACAAATGGATTATTTATGGCAAGTGGCAAGTGAAAGAGATAATGAAGGAAAAAGATTTTGAGATAACTTATGAGAGAGATTGATAGTGTAGAATCCTACCCTGAACATAATAAGGAGGGATGTATGGAGAGAATCCTACCGTGAAAGAATGTACTTTATTTAAAACATATCTTAAGGTTCGCGGTCACTTCTCCTCAGCATGTCTTATGCATGAGTGAGATATTTCTTTATTAAATTATTTATTTGCCTTTGCAACAAAATTTTAAACATCAAAACAATAATGGCAAGCGTACAAAATCATCACCAAATGTATGGCCACATAATGGTTTCACTGAACCAAAATATCTCAGTATAAACTCAACACTTTTCCTCTTCATGAGGCATCTATCATAAACTTAACACAATAATTAAAAATGTATAATTTCTCATCAACACTCATTAGATAACATCAAACAACATCGAATAACTATTTAAAATAGAAACGAATAACTATCTAAAATAGAAACCATTCGAAAAATCAAGTCAATCGATCCAAAATTGGTCAAAACAAGGGTTTATGGTTAGCCTTCCAGACATGACGAATGTCATGCTCAGCCTATCATCGTCCCTTTCAATCGCCTATCATTGCGCTAGCACATGGGCAAGTGAACTCGTCTCTAAGACTGGTAGTCTGCCGATCGCCTCGCTGACACTCATCAGTGCGTTTTCATTGGATGTCTTTCCTCGCGCAGTGATGATTGACCATTTACGAATGTGACGCCCGTCACTACTGTGCAGAACGCAAAAAATAGCATTTTTGCCATGAATGCACCTCTAGGCCTTCGATTTTGATTTCAAAGAACTCCATATGTACAACAAATCATCATGCATCAATCATATAACTTTTAGCACATCAATAACACATATTAATCATCTATATAATCAATTTGCCACAAAATTATCAATATGTTCATCAACTTAAAGCATATACACATGAACATACAAACTCCAAATTATGCATACCGATTCATACGAAAACCATCAATCAACAATCTAGAAAGGTTTTGCACAAACCATCTCAAAGTTTAACAACTTCATCAATGGAGAAAAAAAGAAAAAAAAAACAAAGGAGGATAAGGAATCCTCTCCATCCTTCATGATTAAACACCCATATCATGAACCACCCCCCTATGTCGAATTCGCGGAAAAACTTTGAATCTACTACTTTGGAATCTCTTCTCCTATTCTTATTCTACTGGGACTTTTCTCTTACTTTGCTGACAACTTATTTTCACCAAACAACTTCTTCATCCTATTTCCCTTTTCTATTTAAAAAAAAAGTATTTTCATTTTTATTAATTCTAATAATACCCCCAATTCTTAATAATTCTATTTACCACTCTAATTTAAGTAAAAAATTTATATTTCTCCCCAAAATCATAATTTCTCATTTTCTCTATTAATTTAAATAAATAAAAATTATAATAATTTTCACTAAAAATCCAACCATGCTTAACAATAGTAATAAATAATTTAAGACATTATAAACTCAATTAAAAATAAAATAATCAAAATCACAGTGATACACCACTTGTTAGACAACTAGCATTGCTTAACTCATAAGAAAATATGTTCGCCAAATGCAAGTGTCATGCACCTAACAAAGGGTCAAAATCTCAACCTATAAATAGAGACTTCCAATTTATTGTAAAGGGAGTTTCGGTGGAGTGAGGTAGTACAAAGTAGATTCACCTTGACCTACAACAGGAGAATAAGCGAGGGAGTTTGAAGGCGTAAGCAATGCTCAGATGACATGGCAAATAAACTTTTAAGCTCAGCTTTGCGGGATACCCGAACAACTATGATAAGTAAGCGTAGATAATAATTGCTTTGTTATGGGTTAAATGTATTCATTGTATTTATGTATTAAATAAGCCATGGTGTTTTATGTAAGTCTACCTAATCTTTAATATTTATGACTATTTAATATTAATTCCTATTTTAAATTTACTACCTAAAACTTATTTTCATGATATGAATTGACATTCGAAAGGTACTTGATCTCACCTGATCAGAAAGGATCAATGGTCTGCCACGCGTTGTTGGATTGCTACTTTCACCGAAGTTAGGGAGAAAGAGGGGGTGTACATGCAAGGCACTCCGATGCTTAAGTGAATAAAGGATCAGAGAGAGAGAGAGAGAGAGAGAGAGAGAGAGAGAGAGAGAGAGAGAGAGAGAGAGAGAGAGAGAGAGAGAGAGAGAGAGAGAGAGAGAGAGAGAGAGAGAGAGAGAAAGTACAGAGAAATAGGTGTAGAGAATGAGATTACCTAACCCTCTAGTGAAAAGGGTATTTATAGAGTGCCTCTAGCGCAGGACCAACAGTTACATTGTATTGGGTCAGATTGTCATGCCCAACCCAAGTAACTATCAGGGCTTACGTGGCGTAGTTGTCGCACCCTAATTTTTGACCATAAGATCCCACCTCCTCGTATTTTATCTTCCTCGTTTTCTATCTTTATGCTTTTATGTGCGTACTTATTATGTCTAACGAGCTTACGCAGGTGCACTGTTTTCAAGTAGAATTGGAGTTCGTCCTCTCATTTTAAACGCTTCAGATTACAACTAAGGGATCCAGATTTGAAAGTCTTAAGGTTTCCACGGGTTGAGGAACTAAGATATGGGCACATTATCCCCTCCATAAAATAAAGGTTTTTCTTACGTTGGCGTTATGCACGAGAGTTTATGGATTATTATGGTCATTGCAAGGTTATTCTTGAAGACGGGATACATTTATCTCAAGTCCGAAGTTTATTAAACTTTAGTGTACTGGATCTAGGTATTACATATTTGGTTATACCATGATTGTCTGTCTTGGATGCTTCTATTAAATCAAAAGGGTGTTTCCAAACTCGTCACCCCTTAGCAAGCTGTTTTGATTCAAGAATTAAGGTTGCGGAATTATAAAAACTAAAGTGACCAGATAAGGGGAGGTTTCAATTCATGTTTCAAACTGCTAGTTCAAGGAACTCTTCAGAAAGCTTCGTTTGTTGGAAGTGGAGTTTGTATATTGTTACAGCTGATACAAGTCTCTTTCATACAATTGGATTGATTTCATAAAGGGTCATGATTTCAAAAGGTTGTTTGACACAACAGTGATTTGTCCAAGTGGACTCGTTCATATGTCACACTCAGGGTCACCATCCAACAACTAAAACTCAAGGGAACCATACTGGGACAACAACATTCCCAATTAATAAAAAAAATCAATAATTCAGAAAAGAGAGGAGAACTCAGTTGGACAATACATCCCAAAGACGTATATTGGAAATATTATTTTAGTCTAAGTATTACAATATCAAAGATAATAAGCTTATAATGATACAAGCTAAAGCAGGCATGTCGAGAATGGCGGCGTAAGGCGGAGCCCTGTTGGAGGTTCTGGGAAGAGATCACCAGCATTCAGTAACCGTGCCCTGGTAAAGAAAGCTTGCTCTTAAAGCCGTCATATGAGGAACATCGGTGCGTCATTTGACCTCCATCCTTAGAGCAGCAGCAACACCTAAGCACAAAAAAGACAATGCCACCAATATAAGTTCATCTGTCAATTGAATTAGGGGATGATGTCCTTCAATTACACCTAAACAACATTTTCAAAACGAGGAATTTAATGAAAGGAGGGAAAACCTTGTATGAGCTGCATCATGAGCTAGCCTCGTCCAATATTTGCACTCGTCATGGATTTCCGCAACACGATGACACCAAAGCATGAATGAACACCAGAACTCTAAATTGATACCAGTCCTCGATTCGACATCGACTTAGTTTCCTGCTTCCATACCGGTGGCGGTGGCTCGGTTATCTTGGACCTAGCACTTGGAGGCCAACATATATTGACATATGAACTCCAGAACATTATAAAGCGTCGGCATTGAACGAATGGATTGGCGGGTGTTTAACGCGTAAGACTGCAACAACAAAGACAACAGGGCTCTTAGTAAAGGCGTTTTCCATCTGATAGATTAAATTATAAAGGATGAAATGACAAGGGATTTTTTTATGGATACCTTAAGAGTTATTCTTTTGAGCACGCTCGTGCAACCTTCATACAAGCCTGTTGCGGATAGGCGAAGGTGAAAACCGCGAACTAGGCGTTTGCATTGGTCCATAACTAGACTTCTACTCCAACACTGCAATTCAGATAGGATTACAAAGTTTTCGTTAGTTTTTTTCCAGCAAGGAGAGATTTCGAAAGAGGTCAAGAACATCACCGTTTTTTACTTTGTCATTGGAACGAGACCGGAAGATTTATTCATGCTGCGTCTCCTGCCGTCGACACCAAAACGGTCATTCCAAAACAACTCACACCTGCACCACAACCATCATCAACATTTACGGTTTCGCACTTCAACCCATCAGGAATCTTTTCAACAACCTGTAAGTGTAAGGAAAACCTTTTTGAAATTTCTTACGTCAACCTGTAAGTGTAATGAATTAAAGAACCCGTCTCTAGCTTTTTTCTTTCGTCATGATCTCGGTCTTCATTAGCACGACTTTTATAACTTACCTTTCGCCTCGCCTCGTTCGTGATGTTACCTGAACACGACAAGAAAGCAGTTAATATTCGGAGTAAAAGGAAAAACGAATTCAACTCAAGAGTAATAAATTCAGAAGTTAGCAGCAGCTTTTATGATCACAAGATCAGTCTGTAAGAGAGGATGTTGGCATTACCTTGTAAAGGACCTTTTAGTTCTAGACATGTTGGAGCTAAGGCTTGAGACTTCGGGATTGCCGTCATCATTTATGTTGGCACTAAACCAAGAAGGATAGAACTTTAGCA